ATACTGAACTTTCTACGTATCCTGTGAAACTAAGCTTCACTCATTTTACGTCGCTCAGCTAATTTGTTTGGTTATATTTTATCGAGCTGTTCCTTTATTTTATAAAGGTCTTGTTTACTCTTTTAGATTTCCCAACTTATGGGTAAACTAAAAGAGATCATAAAGAGACATAAGTACCAGATTCCTCGAGGCTGACACGAGGTGCATCAGTTTGGTGTGTCACGCAGTGTGTGTGGTTCTCACCCAAGTCCAGCGACTCGGCGTGCGGCCGGTGTGAGAAGGATGTGCCTTTGTACACCTGATCCAGTAGCTTCTCTTTCACCTGGGTAATGGTGTCGCAGTCCAGGACTTTGGAGGGCACAGGCTGGGTCTCATTGACCCCTCCACCCTGCACCAACACATTCAGCGTCTGCCGGGAAAAGACGAGTGAAAGGAGCTGAAGACAATTAAAGAAAAATACAACCTCCTCTGGAATTTTTCATTAGAGCCAAAATGGTTATTTATTTCAGTGTAGACTCCCCTCACCAGGGTTTTGTACTCTACGTCCTCTCGCAGCAGGCGGTTGTCGTTCAGGGTGTACTTTGCTTTGCCAGTAACAGCATCCACCGGCCCTTTATCGACCTGGTGCTTTATGGCCCTGAACAGCATGTACAGAGGCTCCCCCGCTGAGTCCTACACACACACACAAATAATTAAATCACTGCAATGCACCAATTCTTACACAGGGCTTCTCTGCACACGTCATGTGTTAAATGTTCTGCAAAGTCAAACCTTGAGGAAAACCTGAGCTTCATATTTCAGATTGGTGGAGCAGGTGTGAATCAGGAGGTTCGTGGTTCTGCATGCTACATTCGATAGAAAGCACGTAGGTGCAGAAATAAGTGCTTCTATGTACGAGTGTAAACAGATGAAGCATAAAGGAGGAGAAAAGCGCTATAAAAGAATCAGTGCATGTACAAGAAATGTTTCCACTGTACTGGAGTGACTGGAAGGATTTCCATTCCCCTCTGCGACATGTCAGGACTGGAAACTGCTCTTTAAAAGTTACTGCTGTGTGCAGCAGCGTGGGTAATTTTTTCTATTTACATGTTATACGATATCTAGTTGAGTCATTGGTGCAAATGTCAGCTTTATGCACTGAAATCCTCAACGCAACACAACATGCTCTGAGGGCTCTCTGAATAAACACAAATATGTACTTTTCTATGAACGGTGTGATCATAAAAACAATAAATTAAGCATGTTTTTGGTTTTTTTGCTGTGGGAAATTAAAGAGTTTGCACACTGACTTTAATGAACAAAAAGGACACAGGTCACAGCTTTTTGGAGCTTGGTCCTAATTTCAAA